ATATATATATATATATATATATATATATATATATATATATATACACACACACACACACACACACATATATACATATACATATATATATATATATACACATATATATACGCACACATATATATATATCAAGAAAGTTGAATGTTCCTCATTTCAAGAGGTTTTTTTAAAAAAAAAAAGCCAGAAAAAGTGCACATTACATCCAAATGCTTAAGAAGAATTAATTAATACACAGATACACAGTACAGAATACAATAGAACATGCTGTCTTAAATGATTAATTCAGAAGATCCAGAATAAGACACAGTCGACTCATGAGGCATTTTTTTTCTGCGTGTGTGCAAAATTCTGAAGAACCATGACAAAAAATCACAGACTGGGCTGGAGGGAGCACCCTTTTTCAAATTTGAAAACGTGGGGATAATTGAAATCCAAATATCTTTAAAGTCCAAGATGGAATCAACATTTGCTGTCTCTGGCGGTTTGTTCCACTTGGGCATAATTTATCGGCCCCTCGGAAGAAGGGGGTGCGCCTGTGCAGGTTGAGAAGAAAAATCTGCCCTTCTTCCTATCCCATGGCCAATTTGAGTGTAAGGCTGGTGGCCTGGACAGCTTTATGTCCCCCCGCCCCAAAAAATCATATCTAAAGGGAGAAGTCGACCTCCTAAGTGCCAGACAGCAACATGGCATGTCCGCAAACTTAATTTTTTTAAAAAAATCTGCTGAATGCCGCGGAAGGGGCGGGCATAACAACAAAGAGATCTGTTCCCGGATCGTTCAGAGAAGCCAACGTCCCAGAAACGGGGCACGAAAAGAGTGTGGGGAGAAGCCTGGGAAGCGGAGGGGGCGCCCTTGGAAGATTTGCCTAGGACTGTCGTACATCTGATCTTCTCCAAGAGAACACGGCTTTACATTCTCAGTCATATCCACAAAGGAAACATTGAAAGGGCATATGATACAGTACCTCCATGGTCTGGGACTGGTGCATAGCTTTGATTGCATTCTGTGCCATTGCCCTTGTCGAAAACGTGACAAACGCACAGCCTGTGGGAACAGGGGGCAGGGAGCAGGAAAGACAAAAAAAGAAAAAAAAAAAAGGAAGAAAGAAAGAAAGAAAAGAAAAGAAAAGAAAAGAACAACAAAGACAAAAAGGGTTGGACGCTTGTTAAACCAACACAGTCTACGAGAACGGCCACAAGACGACACTGTTCTCTGTAGTACATAAATTAAAAAAAGAAAAGGAACGAAAGAAAACCAAAAACCAAAAACCAAAAGATAAAAAAAACAAAAACAAAAATAACCCAATTCCCTAATTGATTTGCTTCAGCAGAGCTGAGTTGTTCATCGGGAGGGAGAAGGAAAGGAAAATTGGGGGAGGGGAGGGAGGGAGAGGGAAGGCTGAGACTCAGTGGGAAAATGACCACAATATGGCTATTTTCCTCATTCTTCTAAACCAGTGTTTCTCAACCTTGGCGACTTGAAGACGTGTGGACTTCAACTCCCAGAATCCCCCCAGTCAGCCATGCTGGCTGGGG